ATTTTCTTTTAGTGCCTAAGGAGAAATGAAACTTAACTCCAAGTCTGCAACTTATTTCTCATTCCCTTACAGTCTTGCACAAAATTACACAATAGCATGAGCTATTAACATTTTCAGAACATATCCTTCTTCACTCAGTGTTTATGTTTGTATGACAAATTCCTCAACAAGGATAAAATGTTAGAGGAGAAATGAACAGTGCCTCGTGGAAACTGGGTCCCAAAAGTAACAAAAATGTGTATTATGTCATAACTAGGAAATTAACTGGGAAATGGTTCAGTAATCAATGTGGAATAAGGGGAGGGCTTTATAGTATGGAAGAAAGAACCCTGATTGCCACCTCAGGAGATCTAGCTCTGGCTGTGATCCTGATGGTTGACTTCAAAGCCCTCATTCCCTTATATCTAAGGAGAGTTCATTGATTTAATTAATATTCAGCTTGCAGTGCTAATATTCCAGAAAGTAAGCTCCTTTCTGGAAGAAAGGGTCATTGAAGACAGGGTCATTGGCACATAGTGGGTGCACAGGAACTGTTTTCAAAGGAAGCAATGCCAATTAGGCAGAGACCACCAGGAACTTCTGCAGTTGAACAAGTTGGGTTGACTGCTTGCAATAAGAGGGAGCACACACAATAGGGAACCATGGGCCAGCTCAGTACGAGGGTGTTAAAGAGGAGTTAGAGGATTTAGGTTTGTGGTAGGGGAGGACTTGAGGAAGCAGGACTGTGGTGTAAAAGGGATGCTGTCAGGAAGTAGAAGTAATTTTATGATTGGCTATTTTATGCTAAAATGAAACGCATCATTCATAGTATCCAGATTAGGGGGATGTTTGGTCATTTTTGTGGCTAGACAACATTCATGTTTTTGATTGTTTTCAGATATGGTAACAGAGTGGTCTTGTTTTTGTCATGATTCATCATGGTCACAGAGTGGCCTTGTTTGATGTTTATGTTTAATGAAGTTATATTCAATAGGAGAACATCAGGCACAGTCCTGAATGCTAGGCCAGCTCCTAGCAACACTGAGGCCTGACTGGTGTGGTACCAGCTAGCTCCCAGGTATTAGGGACTGCTTTTCTATTACTCACAAGGAAGCTAGCAACCAGTATCAGAAACCCATTTGTGCCCATGGATTTTCTCCAATATGGATATATACATAATAAGTGTTTTATTTTCCAAAATTTAGAGTGAAGCATATTTAGTTCTCAGCTTTACTCCAAAAATACATTTGGGATGAACTAAACTTTTAAATATTAAGAAAACTGATAGTTAAAATTGTATCCTTAACAGACCTCTCTGGAGTGGTGGTTTATTTCATACTTTTGAAGTTAATTTTTAATGGGGACATTCATACTACATGGTAAAAAGAGTTCAGAGGTTCAAAAAAGATATACATTGCTGGTGGGAGGGCAAAAATAATATAATCCCCCTACAAAACAATGTTGTTATATATCAAAATGATGATAAATGTATTATTCCTTTGACAGTGCAGTTCCACTTCTGGGACTATGTCCTGTGGCTATACCTGTATACGCGTGAAATGAGTCACGTACAAGGTTAATTCCTCACAGCAAAATCTCGGAAACAACCGTGTCTAACTACAGAGAATGGTTACATAAATTATGGTAAATTCACTTAGTAAAGTACCATGTAGCTATAAAAGAAAGAATGAGGAAGCTATCTATACTGGTAAGGAAAGATATCTAGGCTCTATTGTTAAGTGAAAAGGCAAGGTAGGGAATAATAATAAAGGAAAGACAAAAGAGATATAGATTTATATATCTACATAAATAGTACTACAAATACATGAATGAATGAAGTCATATATGGGCCTTGGGGTGGACAGGCATGTGAGTAAGAAGGAAATGTCTCATTATGTGCCTTGTAAAGTAGAATTTTGATGCGTGACTGACATAAATGTACTACCAATTCCAAATGTTAAAATAATTTAAAGATATAGATAATATAAAATGTCTTTCTCCCACTCCATTCTATTCCCCAGAGGTATAACCATTTTGATCAGTTTCTTTTTATAGCCTTTCAGAATAGTCCATTGTATTACTCAAGGTTCTCCAGAGAAACAGAACCAATAGGACGTGTAGAGAGAGATTTATTTTAAAGTATTGGTTCGTGTAGTTGTGAGAGCTGGCAAGTCTGAAATTATCAGGGCAAGCTGTCAGGCTGGAGACTGGGGAAGAGTTGATGTTGCAGTATCAAGTTTGAAGAAAGTCTAAAGGCAGAATTCCTTCTTCCTTAAGGAGCCTCAGTCTTTTTCACTAAGGCCTTTAGCTGATTGGATGTGGTCCACCCATATTATGGAGAGCGATCTGCTTTACTCAAAGTCTACTGATTTAAATGTTAATTATATCTTTAAAATACCTTCACAACAACATACAGGCTGATGTTTGACCAAAAACTGGGTACCTTGGCCTCACCAAGTTGAAATGTAACTGTCATATCTATGTATAATCATAGCATCTATCAGTATCTATATTTATTTTTTAATAGAAACATTAACCTGTACACTAAGACACACCTTGTGTGGGATGATAACTTTTCGTGTTTTGAAGGAGAAATCTAAAATGAAATATACCTTTAAAGTATATGAATATTGGTAATTCTTTACTATGGGGGGGAAAGACATGAGTAACATAAAAAGGGAAACAACAGCTTGGAAACCCATTTGATAGTGGTTAAGGTTCACATTACATAAAGGCTCCCAGAAATTGAAAAGAAAATCACTGATGCCACAAATCAAAAAGGGCTAATTCACAAAAGAAAAGCTGCAATCAGGAAGAAAACACTGAAAATGTTCTAACCCTTAGCACTCAAAGAAAGGCAAAGCGAGGTGGGTAAAACTTACATATGTTAAGTTCTTTTTTTGTTTCTTTTTAAAGGATAAGCTTGTTAATGAAACTTAGACATAAACTACAGTGCTGATGTCAGAGTAAACCAGTCAGCCTTTCAAAAGCAGTTTGGCAAGATAAATCATGATCTGTAAAATCATGTCCTCTGGCCCAGTAATCCCTTTTTGGGAACTGATCTTGAAGAAATAATTCAAATGACGGTAAAAGGCATAGATTGTATAGATATTCATTGCAACATCATTCATATAATCAAAGAAATAGAAACAAGCTAAATTTCCTGACAATATAGAAATACAGGCTAATTGTGGCTCATTAATTTCATGGAATGTAGATTTTAAAAATGAGTACAAAGACTAGCAATGTAAGACCGGGCGCGGTGGCTCACGCCTGTAATCCCAGCACTCTGGGAGGCCGAGGCGGGCGGATTGCTCAAGGTCAGGAGTTCAAAACCAGCCTGAGCGAGACCCCGTCTCTACCATAAAAATAGAAAGAAATTAATTGGCCAACTAATATATATAATATAAAAATCAGCCGGGCATGGTGGCTCGTGCCTGTAGTCCCAGCTACTCGGGAGGCTGAGGCAGGAGGATCGCTTGAGCCCAGGAGTTTGAGGTTGCTGTGAGCTAGGCTGACGCCACGGCACTCACTCTAGCCTAGGCAAGAAAGCGAGACTCTGTCTCAAAAAAAAAAAAAAAAAAAAAGACTAGCAATGTGGTAAACATGTATTATGCAACATTACATACCATAGACACTTAGGTCTTGGCTCTGATTGCAATGTAAAGGAAACTGTGGATAAACTATGTATACATGTGGACAAGAACAAATAGGGATGTGGAAACCTAAAAACAGTTTGATCTATTGGAATATCAGAATTGTGTGCAATACTTCTATTTTTGTTTTATTCTTGTTATAATATTGTTATCTAATTATAAATTTTAAAATTAGTAATAAGTTAACATTGTCCAAACAGTAGCCTCAAATTGGAATTATTATTTTGTATTTAGAAAAGACTTTAAGAATCACTTGATCCTTCTCATTGCCTTTTCCCCTATTGTGATGGTTATACGGTACGAAATCTAAGGTCAGAGGGCTGTGACTGTCAGACCTTGGGTAATATTGCGGGTGCTGGAACTAAGAGCCCACTTTCTCTGCTCAGGAACTATACATATTTTTATTGATTAAGCCTGGAGAGATACTTCAGAACCCTCATACAGTATATATAAGAGAACAGAAAAATTGGAAGCAAAGTACATTCCTACGCTGATAAAACTGGAGTCTCGGGCCGGGTGCGGTGGCTGACACCTGTAATCCTAGCACTCTGGGAGGCCGAGTTGGGAAGATTACTCAAGGTCAGGAGTTCGAAACCAGCCCGAGCAAGAGCGAGACCCTGTCTCTACTATAAATAGAAAGAAATTAATTGGCCAACTAATATATATAGAAAAAATTAGCTGGGCATGGTGGCACATGCCTGTAATCCCAGCTACACGGGAGGCTGAGGCAAAAGGATTGCTTGAGCCAAGGAGTTTGAGGTTGCTGTGACCTAGGTTGATGCCACGGCACTCACTCTAACCTGGGCAACAAAGCGAGACTCTGTCTCGAAAAAAAAAATGGGGGTCTCTTTCTAATATTAAAATAGTAGCTGGCATTATTATTTCTGATACTTTCTAGTTATCAAAGATATTTTATTAAAATTATAATCTAATAGTAGTTTGATCTACATAAAGACCCATTGGAATATTATTTCTCCTTGTTCCCAGCTAAAGTTTCAGTCCTATATTTTTTCATAGTGATGACAATTATCCAGTAAATGAAGACTCAATGAGGAAAAAAACATTTGGTGTAAATATTTTGTTGTGTTTTTCAGTTTTATGTCCCATCTCTTGATCCTTCCCTCATATCGAAAGATAGTTTGAACAGTTTCTCAGTGCGTGTGGACTTCTGCTTTGATTTGCTGGCTCTTATTTGTCTGAGTTTGGAAGGCCACTTGAAGAGATAATCTTAACAGTGTGAAATTTCCCAATTAGCAAAATGGATTTGCCAAGCAGGGGAAAGATGGTTTTTGTACCCACGCTCCTACTAGTGTCTGTCAGGAAAGTGGACTTGGTGTTAATACCTGTCACAAATGTGTTTTTCAGGGTGGATCATTTGTACACGTTCTTTGTTCAGTGGTCTCCCGATGTCTATGGGAAAGATGCCAAAGAGCAAGGCTTTGTGGTGGTGGAAAAGGAAGAACTCAATATGATCGACAACTTCTTCAGTGAGCCGACAACCAAGAGCTGGGAGGTGAGCACTTGAGATGGGGCTGTTGAGTCCCTAAAGTACAGTGTGCAGTCGAAATGGACTCGTGTTCAGATTCCAAGTAACTGGCTGGTAAGAAATTAGAGTCCTTGTGCACCTGTGAAATTAAGGTGCAGCCACCGCACCCGGCCCGAGACTCCAGTTTTATCAACGTAGGAATGTACTTTGCTTCCAATTTTTCTGTTCTCTTATATATACTGTATGAGGGTTCTGAAGTATCTCTCCAGGGTTAATCAATGAAAATATGTATAGTTCCTGAGCAGAGAAAGGGGGCTCTTAGTTCCAGCACCCGCAATATTCTTGTGTTTGAAGCTAGTTATGTGTGTCAGAAAGACACCACCACCATCATGCACACGCTTCATTCCGACTACACCAGGTGGATTCACCTATATTCTCACTCACAGCTCCTTGCCTTAGTTCAGAGGTCAGCATGTGTTTTTGGTGAAGGGCCAGGTAATAAATATTTTTGGCTTTGTAGGCAATGTAATCGCTATCACAACTACTCACTGCCATTGTAGAGCAAAAGCAACTAAAGACAATACATAAACAAATGGGCATGGTTGTATTTTATTTCATACAGTTATTATATGTCACAAAATATTATTAAATTTTTTTCAATGACTTAACATGAAACGACCTTTTTAGCTCAAAAACAGATGGTGGGCCAGATTTGGCTGACAGGCTATAATTTGCCAAATCCCAGTTCCCTTCATCCAATCAGGCAAGCTTGTATCAAGTATGCCTTTTGGTGAAGGCCCGGGAAATATGATGATGGCTAAGATAGGCTGTCTACCTCATAAGCTTGCAGAACTGGGAAGTTGGAGAATGAGGAAAGGAAAAATATGTGTGCTTCTCTTCCCTGCCACTAAGCCTGTTCTCCAGCCTCATGGATCTCTCTGGTGTCTCGTTTCTTGACTCCTGGCTGTTCTGCTTCTCTCCTGGACCCCACATAGTATTTCTTCTTCCCCAGCTTAGACAGATGTAATGAATTTAGGGACACCCTTACCCCCAGGAGTCATGAGTACTCAGTCCCACTTCTGTCTGCTGCATCCGTCTAGCCTGCCTGCTGTCCTGGATGAATCCACCCTCACACTTGCCTTGCCACCAGGCAGCCAAGCATTGCTGGAGAAAACCTGTCCGCCAGGGAGAATGGTGGCTTTACAAATACACACAATTTCTGAATAATCCTTTTACATACTTCTAGTCTCACCTCCATTTCCTAACCTCTTACTGTACTTCTTATGCTCTATGGCCCACTTCATCTTCTATGAATCCCAGAGGTTGGCTTTTCCTTCATTTTGCAAGAAGCCACCACTGGACAAGATTATCCTCACCTTCCTCCTTCTGCATTTCTTACTTTAGCTGTTATTGCACCCATCATTTTTGGCTCAGGAGAGGGGTTTATCTTTCCTCTCATTAAGGCTGAGTTTTTTTTCTTTTGAGACAGTCAGCCTAGCTCACAGCAACCTCAAACTCCTGGGCTCAAACAATCCTTCTGCCTCAGCCTCTCGAGTAGCTGGGACTACAGGCATGGGCCATTATGCTCAGCTAATTTTTTCTTTTCTTTTTTTTTTTAGTTGTTTGGCTAATTTATTTATAGTAGAGACAGAGTCTTGCTCTTGATCAGGCTGGTCTCGAACTCCTGAGCTCAAGCAATCCTTCCACCTCGGCCTCCCAAAGTGCTAGGATTACAGGCGGGAGCACCGCCAGGCCTAAGGCTGATTCTTATCAGTTACAGCTGTCCTTTTGTAAGTCATTATTGTGTCCGTCCTGCCTGGCTCCTTCTCTTTTACCAGGTCATGGTAAAGATTTTTTTTAAAGGAAGAAACTTCTTTCCAGGTTCTTTCATGTTCCCCTCCTTTCTATCACCATCAAACTTCTTGAAAAACCTAGTTCGTATTCATTGTCTCCAATTTCTCAACTGCCTTTTAGTCCTCATCATTTGCAACTCAGTATGTTCTCCAGCCACCACTGCAATCACCATCTGAGGTCACCATAGACCCTCCTAATTCTGTCTTTATTCTATGTGAATTTCCTCTGCATTTGACACAGCTGGCTTCACCCCAACTCTAAAACTCTTACCCACTCGGCTTGCATAGCACTCTGCGCTAGCTTCCCGTAACTTCCTCTGACCATTTCTTTCTACTTCTCTCCCTTGCCTTCTTAAATGTTTTCCTCCCCCACATTTCTGTTCTTGTTTCGTCCATCACTCCTAGAGGCCTCAGTGAGCACCTGAGTGCTGACCATTCTTAAGTGTTTTTCTGCTTTCTCAGCCTCCTTCCCCTCTTGCATGCTTAACCCATGTACCAGCTCAGGACATCCACCTGTGGTCAGGGATCATGTCCAACTCAACACACCTGTCCTAAGGGTCCTGTTTTGCCCCATATCATCTTCATTTTGGTTAATGGTTGCGTCAGTCCCCTATCACCCTAACTAGAAAGGTTTGCGTCATCAACTGTTCTCTTTCCCTTGTCTTCACATCTGAATAGCCCCCAATTTTTTCTAGTCCTTTCCCAGGAATGTTTCTTACATCTGTTCTGTAATCCTTCCTTGTTGATGCCTCTTGACTCGCTCCAGTTTGCCACATCCCACCTGTGGTCAGGGATAATCTCCAACCCAACACTCCTGTGCTCAGGGTTTTGTTTTGCCCAATGTCATCTTCATTTTGGTTAATGGTTGTGTCAGTCCGCCATCACCCAAACTAGAAAGGTTTGTGTCATCAACTGTTCTCTTTCCCTTATCTTCTCATCTGAATAGCACCCAGTTTTTTCTAGTCCTTTCTCAGGAATGTTTCTTACGTCTGTTCTGTAATCCTTCATCGTTGATGCTGCTTTACTTGCTCTTGTTTGCCACATCTCGCTCACTGATTTCATAACATTGACCCTTCCCATTCTAGTACATCCTCTCTATCTTGGCTCCAGTCATCTTTCTAGAAAGACTTCATTCATTTAACTGTTCATTCAGTGAATATTTGAGTGTCTACTGAGTGCCAAGCCAGGTGCCTTGGATACAGTGATAAACACAATAAGGATCGTCCCTGACTTCATGATATTGATAGTTGAGACATATCACACCCCTGTTTAACAAATGTTTCTTGGTCTTCTTTACCTACTGGAAAAAATTAAAGATCCTTTACTTGGCCTGAAACTCACTTGATAATTTTTTCTGCACACTTACCAAGCCCTTTCCTTGCTAGAAGCACAATGGGTGAGATAAGTAGAGTTTCACATCAAGGAATATAATAAACCATTGTAATATAATGAGATAATTGCCACTGTAAGTAAAGTGTCGAGTGCAATAGGAACATGTAGTCACTCACCTGAACCAAGCCAGGGGGATCAGGGAAGCTTCCCAGAAGGAGTGATCTGAGCTGAGATCAGAAGAGGGAGTATGTGTAGTTGGGGACGGAGTGGGACATGGGGACATGTCTGGTCAGAGAATGTCTGTGCAGAGGAGTGACCCCGGAATGAAAGAGATAGCATGGGGTATTTGATGAACTAACAAACATTTGGGAGAGGCAGAGTTATAAAATGCAACCGAAATGTTTGTACTCTCATATTTTCTTGAAATAAAACAAATAAAAATTCACTGTGGCTAGAGCATAGAGTACAAGACTGAGGGGGTGGTAAGAAATGAAGTGGGAGAAGTAAGCAAGGGCAGATCATGAAGGACCGGACGACCACTTCCTAAGGGCAATAGAAAGGCCGTTTTGAGCATGGAGAAGTACACACAGACATGCATTTTAGAGAGCTCTGTCTGGCTGACAGATGTTGAATAGATTAGAGTTGGACAACCCTTGAGGCTTAAAGACCCATGAGGAGACTCTGGCAGTAATCAACAGAGATATGCTAAAAGATAGCAGTAAGGATAGAAATAATTGGGTGCCTTTGAAAGATAGATAGAAGGTGGAATATACAGGACTTTGTGAGTAATTAGATGTGAAGAGTAAAGGGTCAAGATTGAGCTCATGGGCCGGGCGCGGTGGCTCACGCCTGTAATCCTAGCTCTCTGAGAGGCCGAGGCGGGCGGATTGCTCAAGGTCAGGAGTTCGAAACCAGCCCGAGCAAGAGCAAGACCCCGTCTCTACTATAAATAGAAAGAAATTAATTGGCCAACTAATATATATAGAAAAAATTAGCCGGGTATGGTGGCGCATGCCTGTAGTCCCAGCTACTTGGGAGGCTGAGGCAGAAGGATTGCCTGAGCCCAAGAGTTTGAGGTTGCTGTGAGCTAGGCTAACGCCACGGCACTCACTCTAGCCTGGGCAACAAAGTG